AGGACGACTGCACCGTATTGAGGAGAGGATGGATGGGGCCATGTATCACGAGATTTTGGGCAACAACCTCCTTCCCTCAGTAGGAGCATTGAAGATGGGTCATGGCTGGGTCTTCTAGCATGACAATGACCCCAAACACACAGCCAGGGCAACTAAGAAGTGGCTCCGTAAAAAGCATTTCAAGGTCCTGGAGTGGCCTAGCCAGTCTCCAGACCTGAACCAATAGAAAATTTATGGAGGGAGCTGAAACACCGTGTTGCCCAGCGACAGCCCCAAAACCTGAAAGATCTGGAGAAGACCTGTATGGAGGAGTGGGCCAAAATCCCTGCTGCAGTGTGTGCAAACCTGGTCAAGAACTACAGGAAACGTCTGACCTCTGTAACTGTAAACAAAGCTTTCAATACCAAATATTAAGTTCTATTTTTCTATTGTATCAAATACTTATTTTATGCAATAAAATGGAAATAAATTATTTAAAAATCTAACAATGTGATTTACTGGAATTTTTTTTGTAGATCCTGTCTGTCACAGTTGAGGTGTACCTACGATGAAAATTACAGATCTGCCCATTCTTTGTAAGTGGGAAAACTTGAAAAATCGGCGGTGTATCAAATACTTATTTGCCCCACTGTAAACTGATGCAGAGTTGTGCAAGTTGACACTTAACAAGAACTAGTTCTGTTCACAAACATTAACATGAACCAGTTCACATTCATAAAAAAGGAGTCGGACACCAAAAGTAGCGGTCTCTCTGCCAAAGGACCTGCTCCTTTTATTAGCGCACATATTCTTTCTTTCTATTTGGGGAGCACTGAACACACTAACAATCCCACCAACCCACAACTATATACATCCTGCCCAGAGGGGCATTATGGGGGATCCCGCCAGGTGTGTCTCCGCCCTCAACACTACACTATTTTTGTTTATTATTATAAAGCGGTCATGGAAAATGTAAACTTGTTGTCACTGCAGTTGGCGTGGCTACTGTTTAGAGAAATACTCTTCAAGTTTGACTTACTAGATGGGCAATGTCTTTCTTAGGTTCACAGAATATTAGCAATATTAGAAATCAAGTAAACAAAGCAACAAAGTTTTGCTTTTCAAAATTATTATACTTAAGTAATACAGCAAATAGTAGACTGCAGAATTATTTAGGGCTTTTTTACACATGGCCCATTAAGTACATCTACAGTATGCTGTCATGTTTTAATCATTGATTTTAGTCTACAGCTCCCACAGATCTAGTGGTATATCAGCTGTCAGAATATTGTTCACATTTTCTAAATATTCTTACAGTACCTAACAGTCCCAATATACAGTGTGCATGTCTGTGGAAGGTCAACCTACATGTATTTATCATAAACTGCTCTCAGCAGAACTCCCCAAATGAATTAATGCATGTGAAAACTATTAGCAGGGTAATCCACAGGCCCAAACAGAGTCAGCATATTTTTTTATTTTTCTGCAGTTATTCAGGATGGAAAT